CAATGAGAGCCTAGTTCATAGGCGGGTTGATGGCCTGGGAGTGTAATTGTGCAGGAAACAGGGTAGGAATGAGCACAAGGGCTGAGGGGGAACAGAAAGGCTTTTGCAGAAGACACTGGGTCAGGAAAAAGACATGACTAATATATCGAACTTTAAGTAAACAGCTTCGTTTTTGAAGAAATAAAATCAAAGCCCAGGAGGAAAAGGACTGAAATCCTGTGAATGGAAAGTATTCTTTGGTGGACAGACCAGTGCCTTTGCCGATAGGTTTACACTGCTGCATAAGTCCCTTTTTTATGCAATTTATATGGACTACCAGCAAGCCTGATGGAATGGGCTGTGGAGCAGAATGCAGCTGAGGGGATAGACTACAATCTATAGAGAAGTGGGGGGAGCGTGAGGCATGTAACCTATCTCAGAGCAGAGAGGCTGCATAGGAAGAGCTCAGGAACCCTTGCATGACAGGTGCCTACCTCAGCTGCAGAGCTTCTAAGGGTGAGAAGTCTCACTTGCACATCTGCTTCCTTTGAGTTGTAGCGGTACTCTAGCTGTGGGCCACTGTTGAGGACTCCCCTGAGACCAAGCTGTGTCTGACAAGAGAGCCTCCCTTCCCCCGGAACCCGAGCTGCTGCTGTTGCTACTGCATAACCCCAAGAGAGCGGGAACTTAGGATATGTCTGCACGGCAATTAAACACCCACAGCTGTGGGTCCAACTGCTATGTAGGCCTGTAGTCATCAACCAGTAGATAGCGATCAACTGGTCGAGCGCGGGGGCACAGCCAGTCGATAACGAGCCTCCCCCCCCCCACCCCCAATGAGGAGCCCGCACTGGCGCTACAACCTCCTGCCTCCCACAAAAACAGAGCTAGCTCCATCTTCCTGTGGTGGGGAGGGGAGGAGTCCCATGGCTCTGTGCCAGATCCAGCTTCTCAAAGCACGTGCGCTGTTGTGGGGAGGGGAGGAGCAGTGCGTGCTTCCTGAGAAGCTGGATCTGGTGTGGAGCCTTGGGACTTCTCCCCACACACCACAGGAAGAAGGAAGGCAGCACGGGGAAGGAAGGGAAGACAAGAAAGCACATGCTCCTTCCCTGCCCACAACAGCGCGTGCACTTTCTTGTCTTCCCTTCCTTCCCCATGCTCCAGGAAGGCAGGAGGGTGGGGAGAAAGTGTGTGTTCCTTTCCTGCCCACAACAACACACATGCTTTCTTGTCCTCCCTTCCTTCCCCTTGCTCCGGGGTCTGTGTGTGTGTTTAAGATGGCAGTGTGGCGGCTGGAGCAGCTGGATTTCTTAAAGGAGCCATACATGCACTTCATCCAGCACTGCCCACAGATCCTGCCCCAGAGATTCTCATCCCTGGAGACCCCCAGGTACTATCCAAGCTATCCCTGCCCCCTTCCCCCGGCCAGACCTTCTGCCAGCACCCTGATCCTGCTTCCTGGCCAGAGACCCACCAGCACACTGCTCCTGGCCAGACACATCCACCCAGCTTGCTTCTGTTCCCTGATTTCCACCCAGATTCTGCACCTCCATCCCTGTCCCGCTCACTGGCAGCCCTGACCCACACACTGGATTCCTCATTTTAGCTCCACCTCAGAGCGTAGAGGGGCCCACAAAATCCACTAACCCAGGAACCCCAGAAGAATTCATCTGGCCTGAGCCATGAACCTCTATCCTACCCTCCCCTGCCCATGGGGCTGGAGTGCCAAAGGAATGAGGTGTCTTAGCTAAGACCACATCAGTGAGGCTTGGTGGGTTCTGAGGGGGTTGATTTTTTGATCTCACTTGTGTGGTCCCCGACTGATTTTTCTGTGGGTCAGTGACCCCTGACCCAAAACAGGTTCCTGCCTCTCCCATAAATAAAGACAGTGCTGAAACGTTTTGTGTTGGATATAATATTTTATTTAAAAATGAAGTCTGGTCAACAAGCCCCCACTTGCAGCCAAGCCCTCATCTGGCTGCAGCATCATAATACTCCTGCACCTCCGATGGACCCCAACCCTGGCCCATCGTACACCAGAACCCCCTGCCCTGAGCCCCTCACATCCCCAAACTCCTACCCCCTTTAGCTCCAGTCTTCTGCCGCAATACTCTTGCACCATTCACATATCACAAACTGGTGTCCTGAGCCCATCATATACCCAACCCCCCCTGCCTTGAGTCCCTCATGCACCCCAACCCAAACTCCTGTACTCCCACCTCCCAAGCCTGTGGCTTGCTCAGCACCGCAACCCTCCGCCTGACCTCAACATTCTCCAGCCTGGAGCCCCCTCCCTGAGCCAGAATCCCCTTCTCCACCTCCTCCTGCACCCACATTCCCTCCCAGAGCTTGCACTTCTCACCCCTTCCCACACCCAATCCCTCATTCCCACCCCAGAGCCCACACCTGCTATCTCAACCTAGTAAGAGTGAGTAAGGGCTGGGGACAGCAAATGATGGAGAGGAGGGGAATAGAGAGGGTGGGGCCTCAAGGAAAGGGGTGAGATGTTGGAGAAGGGATGGGGTAGATCTTGGCTTGCCCTAACATTTAAAAAGTGATCTTGAGTGTAAAAAGGTTGGAGACCACTGGTGTAGACATACCCTTACAGCCAATCCATGACAGTAGCTGAGGTATGGGTTTGGGTTTAGGCTGTACTAAACCCATCTCTGAAAGGGGAAAGGCTTGTAGCAGTAAGATGCAGGTGGTAGATTCTCTGCTTTGCCTGGGCTTGCCACAAAAGTCAGGTGTGATACACTGCATGGGGGCCTTGTCTATAAATGGCCTGTCAACACAGTGTCAATCAAAAAGGAGAACCTTATGCTTCTAGAGCAGTGGTTCTCAGCTCATTTCAGTCCACGGTCCACCAGGCTAATCAAAAAAATTTTGTGGACCACCTCCTTTTTGAGACATGATAAAAAAGAGCAGACAATGAACATTTTGGTTTGAAATTTATTTCTTACTAACAGATTTTTGGATTCTTTTTTCTCTGACAAGCTTTTCAGTGTTTGGAGTGGTACTTGATAATGCACAATGAATATCACTTTCCACTGCAAGCCGATTCCTCTGTTTGGACTTAACGTGCAACAAACACGAAAATCCAGTCTCACACATATAAGCTGATGCAAATGGCAAAAGAAATCTGCCTGCTTGTGCTGACAGATTTGGGTAATTCTCAGTCATGCTGGCCCAAAATTTCTCTATGGTAGACTGCTGGTACATGTCTTGAGCTACAAAATCATTTTTCAGATCCAAGAATTCCTCCTGCAGATCCTCTGGAACACTATTAACATCTGTTGTAAATGCATTCCTGATGAAAGATAATTCATCCCTTGTCCTGTCCACCTCCAGAAAGTATCGTTGGAATTCGTCTTGTAGCTTCCGTAAATGATCAAGAATGTGCATCCGAATGGCTTCCTTTTCCCCGAGCACGGCATCCACATATGGAAATTGAACCAAATTATTGCCTTCGACTCTTACGATCCAGAGTTCCAATTTGTCAAGAAAAGCCTTGATGATGCTTTGGTGAGAGAATAGATTTGCACCTTTTCCTTGCAGCTGAAGGTTCAGTTTGTTCAAGATTCCAAAAATATCAACAAGATACACAAGTTATAAATTTGACTGCATCAGCACATTTTGGAATTCCTCTTTCACTTGAGCTGGAGAAATAAATCCAAAATAAATTGAAAAACTCTGTTACGTATGTTCCCTGCTGACAACCATCGTACAGAAGTGTAGAACAACAACACATCAAAGTTGGAACCCATGTCCAGGCAAAATCTTTTAAAAAGTCTGGTGTTCAGAGCCGATGATTTGATGTGATTCACCACTTTCATCCACCCTTTGAAAACGGTGTTCAGTTGACCAGGCAATGTTTTTGATGCCAAAGCTTCCCTATGAATGAAGCAATGAACTCCAGTTACCATTGGAGTGTGTTGTTTCACCAGCATTTGGAAGCCCGACCTTGAGCCCAGCATGGCAGGTGCACCATCAGCGGTGACACCCACAAGATTTACCCAATCCAGACCATGTACTTCAAAGAAATTGTTAACAATTTCCATCACAACCTGAGCCTTTGTGGTGGTATCAAGAGTCTTACAAAAAAGAAACTCGTCTTTGAAGTCTCCCTCAACCATGTATCGGGCGAACGCCAATAGCTGAGAACACAATGTGATGTCGGTCTATTCATCCAGTTGTATGGTAAGCAATTGAGTCTTCTTTATTTCATCTACAACTTGTTCACTGATGTTCTGCGATATCTCATTTATCCGTCTCGATACTGTGTCGTTAAAGACAGATATATCATTCAGCTTCCTTGCTGCTTCCTCGCCAAGAACAAGCCACACCATCTTTTTTGCACAGGGGAGCACAAGTTGCTCTACAATGGTATGAGGCTTCTTAGCCTGTGCAACCTTGTATGCAACAATTTAGGAAGCGCGCGCTGCATTGCTTCTCTAATTGTAGAATGCACTTGTTGAGTCGAGGCGCTGCTATTTCAGACCTGATAACCGCCACTCAAAATAATCGTCATCCTTTTGCAACAAGTTGGGGTGACACTTTTCGAGATGGAATTTCAGCTTAGGTGGCTTCATTGAGTCATTCCCCAAGACTTTGAAACAAATAACACATTGTGGCAAATCCGTACCTTCTTTTTCTTGACAAGTGAAGCCTAATGTGATGTAGTCCTCCAAATACTTGAGCTTGACATTTCTTCCTGTTGTTGCCACTATAAACAAACTATACCACACCTGTAAAACTGCACATGTAGCACAGGACGAATGACACAGCAACCGCTCAGCACGACGGCAGCAGCTACACTGATGCTCAGAGCCTCAGATGGAAGTTCCTGGCAACACAATGTGGTTGCATCCTAGGTGACGCTATGGATGATGTGCCATGTACTTGTGAACATGGTGTAAAACAGCCTAACAGTGGCACCTGCTCACACCGTGTGACTTTGGACAATGTTCCTGTGGACCACCGAAAAAGTCACCATGGACCACCAATAGTCCATGGACCACAGTTCTAGAGTGAATATGCTATTAAATACCAATAATAAAGAGGACATCAAATGTGCATGAATAGATTAAACCCTGTATTTCTGCTTTCCCCTGTTACAAATGCTAATCACCAGTTTTTGCTTACTTCTGTGTCAAGGGATGTGTATCATTTTAGCTCAGATACTCCTCTTCTCCTCAGAAATGCGGTGTGTTCATTTTATTTCTGTCAATTATTTAAATTAGAAGTGCTGATCTGGGAAACAGGTTTTAGAAATTGTTCCAGAGACATATTCGAAGGGAATGCATGTACCTGGCAGTGAAATATTTTTTGTATTCCTAATTTATAGTAATTGATGTTCCATAATGCACTGCTTTTAGCAAGCTAAAAGATGTGTCTTTTCCCATGCATGCTGAGTCTTCCTGAGTGCTCAGTTTGTGTCCAAAATAAGCTTCAATAAATTGTGGTAATATATTGCCTGGTGTATTTTTCTTTATCTTTTGATATTGTATGTTCTTAAATAAAACAACTTCTAAACTTTCTGGACGATGGTTTGAAGCATTGACTAACAAAATCTGTTCCAGGTCAAATACATTTTTAATGATTTAGTGCATGTTCTCTGGCTGTTAATGGCAAATCTTGCTCTGAAAAGACAGTGGGACTTTCACTGAATATATCAGGTATGCATCTGCAGAGCTTCTTCTGTATCTTTCGTCGAAACTCTTTGGAACCAAAAAAATAAACAAGTGGATCGAAGCAGCAATTAAGGCTATTCAAAGCCAGAGACAGCTTATATTCCACATAAACAGTCTTATTTTGGGTAGTATAGACAAAATGGATGATTGATATCACAATATTGGGCACATAACACAGTACAAAGACTGTAAGCAACACAACTATCAAATAAATTGTCTGATTCTTAATTTCTTTTAATTGATCAGGAGGGGCATTAAGAAGAGCTCGAATGACTGAGGTGTAGCAGAATGCCATAACTAGCAAAGGTAGGAGAAAGCATAGGAGAACTTGAGAGCCAAAATAAGCGATGAAACCATTTCTTGAAGGAAACATATTTTTGGGTAATACATCAAAGCAAGTAGTTATCTGCAACTCCTGTACCTGGAAGGTTAGCTCTGTCTTCATGAGTGGGAAGTGCAGCAGTAAAACAAATATCCAAATGATGATGCATGTCAAGAGAGCTGTTCTAATGGGTCTAATGGCCCTGTGCTGGAGCGGGTGAACAATTCCTAGGTAGCGTTCTATGCTGATGCTTGTCATGGTTAAAACAGAACAGTGCATGTTTGCATAGAATAGCACAGTCACAATGCGGCACAGAACCTGTCCAAAGGGCCAGTCATTTCCCCGTAAGTGGTAGACAAATTGAAAAGGGAGGAGCATGCTGTACAGCAAGTCCGTGATTGTCAGATTAATGGAAAACATGATGATGGGAGTCCAAGGTCTTGAGTAACGGCAAAGGAACCACAAGGAGATAGAATTCAGGGGAATACTGATGACGAAGATGAACAAATAAAGGGCAGGCAAAGTGGTCTGCAGCATTTGGTTCTTAAGCATTTCTATTGTGCTGTTTTCAAGTCTTCCCATGATAGTGAGATAGATTCAGTAATCTCTTCTGGGTTGGACAAATGTGAAAGCTTCATACACCTTTTCTCAGGAAAGAAGAATCTCAAGGTGGTAGAGATTAGACCTGGTTAAAAAAATGCATGTTTTGGTGAATATTTTTTAAGAGCAATTTAACCTAAAAACATGATACAGCTCTTAGTTTAGTCATTCCCACCACCTTATATTGTATCCCCTCAGCCCTTTGGACCAAAGAATATATTTTCTAAAGTACTTCGTGAGTTTTGTTTCTAGTTGCAATAGCAATATACAAAATCCAATCACCTGAGCATACATCACTAAGAATAGCTTCTGTATTTTAAACAGACTTACATCTTTCCCCTCGAAAGATGTTTTAGCATGCTCATTCTTAATTCATTTATTATCTTCTCTACCACCTCCCTTACTCAATACCTTATGCACCACCTGAATATTTTTAAGAGAGAGGTGTGGCACTGGCAAAGGAGGTACCAACACAAGCCAAGACACAGGGCCTCAATGAACATTGACAAATTAATAGCTAGAAAGCAGTCTGGCTCTCTTTGGGTTAGTATTGTTAAAATAGATATTAGTATTATAAGAATGAATTTACTGTTTGGAGTTATGAAACGCTTCTAGGGTGCTGCAAGTATTAATCCTACTTAAAATATCTGTAACCTGTAGTATAAAACCTCTGGCACCATGTAACTCACAAAACAGGAAAAGAAGCATTAAATAAGGTAAAGTGTTTGTCTCATGGCCCATTGAAAGCAAAAAAGGCACTGTGTAGCATCAAAGCACAGAGGCATGGTTGATTTCATTCATTACTCCTTCTAGGAAGGGGAGATATGGACATGAACTCATCCTAGCAACTTAGATTCTTGGGTGAAGGGGATAAAAATCCCTGACAAGGAGAAACGGTTTCTCTGTATGCTGTCTGGACCCTGCAGGGCAACAATACCTAGCCATAAGCAAGAAATCCTTGTGCTTCTTGGCATGGGTCATCCCTAAAAGACATACACAGCTGTTTACAGAAGTTTATATTCAATTTTTAAAATCTAGGTCTGTAAGAGTATGTCTACACAGCAAAGTTATTTCGAAATAACAGCCCTTCTTTCAAAATAACTTTCCTAGCGTCTACACAGCCAACCCGCTATTTGGAAATAAATTCAAAATAGCGGAGTGCTTATTTCGAATTTGGTAAACCTCATTCTATGAATAATGCCAAATTAGAAATAGCTATTTTGAAATAAATTATGTGTAGACACTCATTTCAAAACTAGCCAATTAGCCAGTCATAAAACAGGATTTTCAGGTCTCTCCTCCATGTCCTATTCCCTTTATATCTCAGTCTTCTCTCCTGAGCCTCCGGTCTCTCGCTCCGTCTCTCTCTTTCTTTCACCTCCTCCTACTGCCTCCCTCCCCTTCTCTCTCAGCTCCCCCTCCTGCCTCTCATTCTCTCTTCTCCTCCTCCTCCTGCATGGGGAGTGCAGAGCCCAAATGGCTGTTTGCGCCACTTACTCCCGGACAGCAGCCTGGCTGAGCAGCTGCCTATAAGCTCCAGCTGTCCCCCTGCACCATTTCCCTTCACCCCAGCACTGATCCTGCAGCCTCTCAGTAGTCCTTCCCCTCCCCCTCCCCCTCATTCCTCTGCTCTCCCCCTGGCCACGGTCTGTTCACGGCCGAGGGAGGGGGTGGGGGCTTGGATCCACCGTCATGCCGCACATCACTGCCCCATGCCCTTTGCCTCCCACCGTTGCGCTTGGCTGACTTCTGTGCTGCTCAGCTGGGCCTCTGCACGGGAGCAAGCGGCGCATGTGGCCGTTTGGGCCCCGCTCTCCCCATGCAGCATGGGGGTGCTGCATGTGGAGCATGGACCCCAAACAGCCGCTTGCACCACTTGCTTCCACTCGGCAGCCCGGCTGAGTGGTGCAGAAGTCAGCCAAGCGCCACGGTGGGAGGCAACAGCGCCACCCAGAGGGAACAGCCAGAGGGCAGGGCCTGGACAAGCGTGCGTCTCTGACGTCAGGAAAGGGCGCCGGATTCAAAAGGAGGAAAGAGGAGCAGACACAGAGAACGTGGAGGAGACAAGAGAGGACCTCCTCCCCTTCTCCCTGGAGCTCTTAAAGGGGTAGAGTCTGGCCACAGTGCCTGTGCCAGCTCAAAGCCTGCCAGCCCAGAGCCAGCAGTGGCCAACGGGGCCCAGTGGCCCCAAAACAGGAGCCAGCAAGACACTGGCAGCCAGCCCTCCACCGCTCCCCAGGAGCAGTCTGCCAGCTCCCAGGAGCCTGACAGGGCACGGAGAAGGTGGGCGCCCTTCCTGGTCAAGGGTGGAAATCATGGATCTTATTCAGGTTTGGGGGGGATGCACCCAACGTCCATGATCTCCACACTAGACAAAGGAATGCAGTCGTCTGTGGTAGGATAGCTGCCAGCCTGGCCACCAAAGGCCACATGCGGACCCAGGAGCAGGTTTGCATGAAAATCAAGTTGGTCTGGCGAGACCCCCAATCCTGAGCCCTGAGCTTCCCCTTCCCCTTCTCCCCCTTGCTTCCCCCTTCCAGCTCCCTCCTCCCAGGTTTTCTCTTCCCCTCTCCTGCCTCCTTTCCCCAGTCTCACCAGAGTTTCACCCCCCCCCCCATTCTGTTAAATAAAGAGAGCCCCCCCCCCAATTCTGTTAAATAAAGAGAGTTTGTGTTCATGAAAATACGTGTATTTTATTTGACATCAGGAAGGGGGGTTCGGGAGGTGTATGTGGAAGGACGTGAGGGAGGAATGAGGCACAAGCCCCCAGTGGGGCAGATCAGGGAGGTTCTTAGTGTTCCTCAGGGTGGAAACTCTCCCGCAGGGCCTCATGGATTCTGACAGCCCCCCGATGAACCTCCCAGATGGCAGCCTGCAAAAAGTGCAGCCAGGCTCATAGCAACGCATCTAAGAGAAGCACCAGAGTGCCCAGGCGAGCTCTGGCTCCATGTTCCAGAGTGCTGTGGTGTCCTGAGTGAGGGCAACCAGAGCACACAGAGACAAAATGCTTTGCTGTCCCTCATCAAGGTAGACAAGCAAGCAGGGAAACCTGAGAACTGGCTGTCCGGGGGGGGGGGGGTCCCTTTAAGCACAGACCTCAGATAGCCTCAGGCAGCAGCCCCACACAGTAAGTCCTGACCTGGTGCCCTGCTGGAACTGGTTCCGGCCAGCCTTAAATGCGATTCAGAGTCTATTCAGTATGGACATGCTATTTCAAAATAGTAAAAAGCTATTTTGAAATGCATTTTGTGTGTAGACACGTTATTTTGAAATAAGCTATTTCGAAATAACGCTGAAGTGTAGACATACCCTAAGTCATTTCTGTTTGACCTTCTACATAACTCTCATTTCTTTTCTTAGTTAGTAACTCCTTAATTAGGATAGACTGCAAGTGTTGTCTTTGGTTTGAGATTTGAGTACAATTGAAAGAAAACTATTGGTCCTTTGGAACTGGAAGTACTCTGAATATGGTGTAAATTAACCCTGCATCACCCAGTTTGCCTGAATGGCAAGACAGACTGGAATGACCAAGGGGACTTTCAGTGACTCTGTGGTAAGACTGTTATGCTTTATAAGGCCACACTTATTACTAGGTTGATGTTTGCCTTGCTTTGTGACAGTCTGCTTTGAGGTTGACACCCATTGTTGTGACCCACTCCAGACATTGTGAAAGGAGGTTTCTTATCTTAAGAACATAAGAACAGCCATGCTGGGTCAGACCAAAGGTCCATCCAGATCAGTACCCTGTCTGCCGACAGTGGCCAATACCAGGTTCCCCAGAGGGAGTTAACCAAACAGGTGATGATCAAGTGAACAGGTAATGATCAAGTGATCACCTTATGATATTTATATGATTTTAGGTTATCTTTCATATCATGGGTGTTTGGCTGGGGATGCTTTATGTATTTTGGGGACTTAACTTCAACAGACTTGTGCTCAAAGTTAAATATTTGTTTAAGTGCCAGTTTGAACATTCATTCCTGTAGTGGGGTCTAAATTTGTGGTGATTCAAACCCAAAGGGGCTGAGTGCTTGTAACTCCCATGTTGCTGTTGTCATTGACACTGTACAATGTAGAATCTAGAGTTGTGTCAATAATGCATATGTCTTGGTTTGCTAGCAATTCAGAAAAAATGAAAAACTATTGTTTTGGATTAAACCAAAATGATTTTAAATTTTATTCAGTGAATCAAAAAATTAAAAGAAGTTGTTTTTTTCACAAATTGAACTATTTTATTTTATTTGTGAACATTTAAAAACCTTTTTCATTGGTTTAAAAATAAAGGAAATTTTGAACTGCAGTTAATTTCAAACTAGAAAGGCAAAACATTTTGATTTCTTTATCATTTTTTTTTTTTTTTTTAGAGGGAGAAGATTATTTTCAACCAAAACAATTTTGTGAAATCAACATGAATTCAGGGAATATTTTAATATCACCAGATATACATTTTTCACTATGCTACGTCTACACTGGCCCCTTTTCCGAAAGGGGCATGTTAATTTTACAGGTCGTAATAGGGAAATCCGCGGGTGATTTAAATATCCCCCGCGGCATTTAAATAAAAATGTCCACCGCTTTTTTCCGGCTTTTAGAAAAGCCGGAAAAGAGCGTCTACGCTGGCCCCGATCCTCCAGAAAAAAAGCCCTTTTCCGGAGGATCTTATTCCTACTTTGAATAAGATCCTCCGGAAAAGGGCTTTTTTTCAGGCCTCATCCACCTCTTCCACCTGGCTAGGTGGCCTGTAGTAGACTCCTAGCATGATATCACCCTCGTTTTTTACTCCTTTTAGCTTAACCCAGAGACTCTCTACACAGCCATGTTTATTTAAATCCCGCAGGGGATATTTAAATCCCCCGCGGATTTCCCTATTATGACCTGTAAAATTAACATGCCCCTTTCGGAAAAGGGGCCAGTGTAGACGTAGCCCCAATATTCCAGGTGAAATATTTTGCCCAGTTCTTGTAGAAACATGACCAATGGTGTGATCCTAAGAAGTGGCATTTATCCTTGACTTATACGGAAATAAATGGATATGACATCATTGGTATTACAGAAACCTGGTGGGATGGGACGCATGATTGGAAT